ATGGATGGATGGATGGATGGATGGATGGATGGATGGATGGATGCATGGATCAACCAGATCCCTGATAACATCTCCAATTCAACTTTACATAACTTTTTAAAAGTATTTTTTCACACTGGATTCAGAATTCAAAACGATTATTTAGAGATTTAACATTGTTTACATGTTTGTTTTTTCTTTTCACACTCTTCAAATCAAGTTTTTGTAAAACACATGTCAAAAAGACGATAACACAATATCTCTGTTACCTCTTTGTTATGTATGATAGAATGTAGAATGCAACAGATTGTTTATATTTATTTATTTATCTTTTTGGGAAACAAACATTTGCCATGACTGGGGCAGCGTCTGGAGCTCCAGCTTTTCCAAACAGAAATAAGTAAGTGATCACAAAGAGCACGCACCCTCATCCTTATCTGTAACTGATCTGAGGATGTGCTCATGTCTCGCTTGAATGGCAGCTTTAATTACTGTGATCAAATGAATTAGGGACCAATGAAGAGATAGCCTCGGCTTTGTCTTCCAAATGAGGGTTGATTCATCATTAATGGGCTCTAAATGTGCCCTTTCAGACCTTTATAAGGGTTTCACCGTGGATGATTGATGGTCATATAGAGGTGATTAATGTTTGTTGATGTGTCATGTGAGAGTAATGTAGTCAAAGATGGGACACCTTAGTGCCTTCACAGAAACTTTGCCTGGGATACTAAGAACCTCCGACTTTCTCACTCTTTGCGTTTTGATTGAGACACGTCTCTTGTCACTCATGAACGCATGTGGACAAACTTCTCACACATGGCTCCTTTCACTCCTTTTGTCCCGCTCTCCACTCTTGGCCATTCTTTCCCCCTGGTTACCAGTCGTCATGGTTTCTGAATCCCCTGCAGGCTCAAAAAGAAAAAAAAAAATACTAGGGAAGGATGGGGTGGGGGGGATTAAAGGCGGCCATTTTGGGGACAGCTGGACCAGGTTGGTCCCTGTTGCCCCCTGTCCCGCTTCCAGTCACTTTTTTTGAGGGGGGAGAGAGGGGGAGGCATTGTGAGAGGATTAGAGCTTCCTGTGTGTCAGCTCATTACATGGGGTGGGAAGGAGGGGATGATGTGGTGAATGCAGAGAGCGATGGAGGGAAATGAAAGAGAAAATGAAAGAGACTGAGTATGAAAGAGAGAATGACACGAGGAGAGGGAGGGAGGGAGGTGACTGCCTCTACAGCTGCACCCTCAATAACACTCATACAGGCTCTGATTATTCTTTTCACACACACACAGACGCATACACAGTGCAGGGGAACTGCAACATATTATAAGACATTGAGGGCTTAAAAGACAGAATTAGGAGACAGCCAGGCCAGCTCCTCAAACAAAGGATTCCCCCCACCCACCCAGCCTCCCTCCACCAATCCACACACACACAGAACTGGAACAAACAAGGGAAAACTGACCAACAGAGTGCATACAGGCTTACAGAGAACAAGAGTCATGCAAGCAGAATGCTTAAACAGATAAATGAATTCCCAGAGACAGAGACTTAAACAAGAACAGGCCCAAAAAAAGGTAACAAACCAGTCCCCGCTTTGCATTGCCATTGTTTTATTAACTTTTTTCAACGTCACATGGGTAGCGTGGGAACACATTCTGTCACTGCTACAAGAAAAGGAGAGAGGGGGGCTGCAGAGAGAAGGCAAAGCATACAAATACTAAACCGAGCAAAGCGGAGAATCTAGTGAGTGCATACGATTTACGCAGGAGTAAAGCACCCTCAAGTCCGCTGAGATAGCAGCGGAACAAGTAGAGAGAGCAGGAAGGAGACAGGGTTCATCCTTGTTGGGGGCTTTAGAATGCAGATAGCACCATCATAAATGGGGAAGACATTCACTGTCATTAAAATAAAAGGTTTTACTGTAACCGTAGGGAACTGGTAATACAATCATTGCAGGGGTGAGTTCTTTCAGCAGATGTTTGGACACAGTGCAGCTCACAGTGCAACATCAGAAAACACGCATTAAGCAGCATTAAAACAAAGGATAGAAAACAATTTTTAAAAGGCAACCGCAGCATGTATGTACAGTTCAGGGGCCATTTATAACTTGGCCTGTTTTGGTATGAAACGTCTGGACACTCTTCAAAAACAAAGAAAATCAATGGATACTACTCATAAGATATTATACTGTACATCCTGAAATGTGTCAGCAAGGGTGGACAATGCGTTGAAGGTAAGGCCTCACTGTGGTCTTTGAAGTACAAAAATAGACAGCAGGAATACTACATTCACAATTTTTCTGTCATTGTTCTAAAAATAATCTATAACTATTTGACTTATACAAATTCTAAATATGAAATTAGAGTTACAGACTCTACAAAAACAGTCTTATTCTAAGAATACATTCCCTTTGTCAGGATCTACTGAAGCACATTCTATTTTGTATTGTCCACAGTTTCAGTGGTCACATCAGAGCCACCACTGGTCAGGAGTGGATCTATGCTGTCACCTTTCTCAGGGGCCTGTCCCTTATTTTCCTCCTGTTTTTCAGAGGTTTTAGTTGCCGTACTACGATCCTCTGAAGGGTCACTTTCATTGGTTTGAACCTTGCCTGGGGCATTCATCGACACTCCAGGATGCATTTTCATGTGGCCCTGTCGGCGAGATTAAACACAACAACCAGTTATCAAAGAGTTTAAATGCATAACTATAACTATGATCAAATGTTTCAACATATTCTCATTATCAGTGCGTATGAAATCGTACGGAAAGTTATGCACACTATTTCGTACGTTTTGGACGTTTTTCCTCAAAAAACCACATCAGTGCGCATGCGCTGGCAGACAGAAAAAAAAAGCCGATCCGTGGACGGACGTAAAATTGGGAAAAACAGTGCAATCAGCACTTATTCATGTCTCTAACTACGTTGCTTGCTGTATTATATTTTAGGGTAAGGTACAGGGTAAGGGTTAGGGCTAATTGTAATTTATATTCTATATTCGTGAATGGTGCGTCAAATGCGCATACGACGAAAAAAAGGTCCAAAACGTACGAAATTACGGTGCATAACTTTTCGTACGATTTCATACGCACTCATAATGAGAATAGGTTGAATGTTTAATTATTTAAAGTTACCTTAAGTCCACTTCGGCTGGCGTATGCCTTTCCACATTGGGAACAGCTGTAGGGCTTGTCGGGTCGAGCAGGCTGGGCGTGCGGTGTTGACGCTGCTGTTGAAGACTCAGGGTTATCAGACAGCTTTTTTAGGGGGGTACAATCCTCTTTTATAGGTGCATCTTTTCCAGGCTCTGGTTCGGACAATAAAAGAGGCTCTCTTGGTTTGGTGTCTTCACTCTTCTCTTTAATATTAGATGTGGCCCTGCCTCGCAACTCCTGTGAAACGCTGGTATTAGCCTCCTCTACATCTAGGGTAGCTCCAGGGCTGGCAGGGGGTGTAAGTGAGGGTTCAGGATGCGCAGCTGGGGGGGTTGGGGTACAACTGGGATTAGCTGTGTCCTCATTTGTGGAAAATCTTTCCTCACTGTTGATAAGTCTGGGTGTAGCACTTTCAAGATCAGACTTAGAAACACAGAGGGAGAGAGGAATATCTTCAGAAACAGAGTCAACCGTATCTACAACCGAATGGGAGCTAGGTAAGGGTGCCTTGAAAGGACTGTCTATGCCCAGAACATTGTGGGTTTTCTCTGCTGTTGGACTTTCAGCTGGAGCAATATCTGCAAGCTGCAGAGATTTTTCAGCTCCCACAGATGGTGGATTACAGCTTAAAGGTGGACTAACACTTGGAGTCGAACGCTCAGATTCCTCAGTTTTCACAGAATCTGAATCAGTAGCTTTGGACTGCTTAAAACTGGATCCTGAGCTAAGGGTGTCCACTGGAGACTTGGACGCCGTTGTTAAGGCAAGAGGAAGGATTTGCACTTTTGATAGGGAGCTAACAGGCTCACTGAGACTGTCTTTAAAGGAAGCACCTTCTATTTCTGCCCCATCCTCAGGGTGTATCTCCTCATCAGGTGGTATTTGCCCACCAAGATGCAAGCGAATGTGGTGCTGTAGAACTAAGGCATTAGTAAATTTGCGTGGGCAGAGGGGGCAAGAATTAAGGGCACGGGCATTTGGTGGCCTTGCTCGATGTGTGGCCAGGTGTGCCCTAAGGCTTCCCTTGGTGGAGAAAGAACGTCCACAAAGCTTACAAGGAAAGGGACGCTCTCCCAGATGTGTTGCCTGGTGCAAGCGAAGAGCTCTGGGGCAGCTAAGAACACGCATACACACTCCACACTGGTTAGCAACCTGGGTTGTGGGCAGAGAAGAAGTGGTTGTTGTAGGGCCTGAACCAGAGACACCCTGACCAGTCACTGTAGCACTGACACTAGGGCTTAGTCCAAGAGCAGCCAGCATCTCTCTGCGATAGGCACTTGAGGTCGTGGTCAGGTCACGGGCATTTGTCTCCCCATTAACTTCAGCTGAGGTTTGTGAAGAGGTGGAGGGAGAAGATGCAGAAGAGCAGGATGAGGCATTGCCTTGTGGCTGCTTTTCTAGCTTCTGCACCAGCCGCTGCAACTTGGAAGTGTCTGATGTCTGGCTGGAGGTGGTGGGAGAGGAGGAGGAAGGAGAGGAGGTGGGTGGTTTGGGGAAGGGAGGGAATGGGAAGGGTAGCTGATGAGGTAGAGAAAGATGGGAAGTGGAAGGGTGGCCTGGAGCCCTAAGAAGGGCAAGGTGGTGGGGGGAGGCGCCTCCAGGGAAAAGAATCTTGGGGAGATGAGCAAGTTGGGAGTAAGGTGAAGTTGTGTGGAGAGCAGAGTGGGGAGGAGTGTTTTCATCAAACCGCTGCTGTTTAGCTGCTTTATACTGGCTGGAAGCAGAAGAGGAGGATGGAGATGATGAAGGCAGAGCTGTGCTGGATGTGCTGGCAGCAGCTACTGAAGCTCTGTTTAACTGTAACAGAGAATGAGCTGTAGACAGAAGAGCCATGTCCACAGAGGGAGGCAGGGGTAGAGAGGAAGGCGAGGGCCGAGTTGAGCCACCAGACAGTAATCCTAAAGCCATGCTCTCTGTTATGCCAGGAACACTTCCTTTCACTCCATTATATGCTTCATCATCATCCACACGACGTTTTCGCCTCCTTTGAACTGTACCTGGAGTTGATCCACTCTGTGTCTGCTCTGAAAGTGCAGGGGGCAGCAGAGACAGGGACAGCTCTGGGTTCTGCTCTCTGTGTCTCAGGAAATGGGCTTTTAGGTTCCCTCTGGTTGTAAAACGGCTCAGACACACCGGACATTGGTAGGGTCTTTCGCCAGTATGTGACCTCAGATGAATTTGGAGGGAAGAATCACTGCTCAGCACTTTCCCACAGAACCTGCACACATGCTGAGGACGTCCTGATGAGGAGGCAGAAGTGAGAGACGAGCTGGATTGAAGATCCTGTGAGTGGCTGCTCGTGGGAAGTGAAGGAGTTTGGAAACTGATGCCATTGCTGTGACCAAATGAAGAGGTGTTGGAGGATTTCTCATGGAGGTAGCGTGGTGACAGACCCAGGGATAATGAGAGGGGGTGCAAGGAGGCAACAGATGAATTGATGCTGGAAGATATTGCTAAGGAAGAGGGTGAGGATAGAGAACTGGAAGTTGAGGAGGATTGGGGTCTGTCTCCATTTATGAGTGAAGTACCTGATTTTGAGATGACTGGTTGAGGGAAAAGGGGGGAAGGAAGTCCAGTCAAGAGGGATGAAGCTGTGGTTACTGGAGTATTGGTCGAAGGATGTGTAGGTGATGAAGATGTTGTTCCCATGGACTTCTGGTTGCTGTCTACACCGTTAGCTTGTGCGTTGTTATCTTGGCCAAAGACAGCTCCTCCAAGCCTGAGGACGTGACGACAGATCTCTTCTGTTATCTGCATCTGGTGTATTTGCCTCTGCTGCAGGACCCTTAGTTCCTCTAAGAGTACCGCCAGGGTTGGAGGCACCTGGATCTGTCCCTGCTCCCCTGTGGAGATGGAAGACTGCTGCTGGCCAGGACTGGAGCTGTCTGGTTGAGGTTGCTGAGAGGATGATGAAGTAGAGGATGAGGAAGAGGTAGTGGTGGTGGCAGAGCTGCCCATCGGGGGAGAGGTCATAGTGGCGTTTGAGTTAACTTGGTGGTTCAGGCCGTGGCTCCCAGAGGACTGATCTAGAGGAGGGGGCGAGTGAGTTTGGGAAGACAACGAGGGGTGAGGGAAGTCTGGCGAGAGGGAGGAGTGAGTGTTTGGCAGAGATGTGGTAAAAGGAGCAATGTGGCTGGGCCAGTGGGGAGGAGGTGAGCTCTCGCTGGGCAAAGAAGGCGCGTGGAGCCCTCCAGGAGACGGGCGAGTGGCCAGTGGTGGCTGGCAATCTTGCAGTGAGGTGGGAGATGAGGAGGAGGAACCTGATGACGTTAGATCTGATCCCAAAGATGTGGATGGTGACTTCAAGCTTAGATGGTCGTCTGAGGATTGATAGAGAAAAAATAATATTTAATAAAAGAAGAAAAAAATGTATGTCTTTACAAATAACAGTTTAGTAAAACTCTGTTCCCAGTATCAACCCACATGTCATGTTACTTTCAAAGATTGTTTATCTCACTGACTTTAGTTATTGTTTACCAATTTTAGTTTGCAAACTTGTCTGCATACCAGAAGATACAGTTACAGCTTCAAAAGAAAAGGCCCGCCTGGAAATGACCTCCTACAAGCAAATAAACAAGTGGAAGAAACTCAGAGTGCACCAGTCTTTGAAATGTCTTGTCTCAATCTGTGCTCTCTGAAGCAAAACTCTTCAAACATCTTGCGCACACAAAAAAGCTCACAGACCACCTTGTTGCTATGGCAGCACATTTTAAAGGACAATGGACATCACCTAGACAACCCGTAACCCCTCTTAACCCAGCCCCCCTCACGGCCGCAGTTACGTCTTTCATCTCCCCATTCACCCTCCCCCCTTACGTCACGGTGGAGGTTAAGGGTCAGGCCATGCTAAGGGTTCTGGGTACTGTCCACATGCTCTGATTGGTCAACTAATCTAACCTCTGCCGCCCAGGGGTCAAATTCTTTCAGAATCTTGAGCACAGAGTGAGAAAGAGTAAAAAGAAAAAAAGAAGGGGGAGGGTAACAACAAAGGAGAGACAAACTAACTACTCCCTCCTGGAGAGGTATAGTGATGGAATGAAAGACTGTACCTCAGAGAAATTCCCTCTCTGTTATTAAGAAACAAACCTGCACCTGCAGGAAACATATAACAAACTATAAATCTAAACGTATACTCCTGACTTGGAGAATCGTACCTGCAGAGCATTGTGCATGCACAAATATCCAAGTTTAGCTCAGTAATAATCTGTGAAACCTTCTCTCATCCATCTGAAAGCCCCCAAGCTGTGAAGAAGTATACAGTCAATAGAGCGGAGAAAGAAAAGGGGAGGGAGGAGGCATTGTCATGGTGGAAAATGGGAAAAGAGGGACTCATAAGGTAAAAAAAAAAGTATGGATGAACTGCAAAAGATGAAGATCCATACAAGAGTGGAAGATTAATCTTTACTAATAAATAATAAATAAAATAAAAAAAGAAAACACTGCCTTCCCTCCCCCCTGACCATGCAGATTATTGTGAGTGCTCTATAGTAATCCCAGAGCTCTAGCAGTCACCCTTAAGCAGCCTGTTGGTTTCCTTAAGGATGGGCAGCTCATGAAAATGACCACAGACATATGCTGGTTAATCCAGATCTTTTCACTTTACAAGAGGACATTTTAAAGGCATCCACCAAAGTGCCTCCGGCCTTTTTTTTCATTTGGATATAAATGATTAGATCTGCTTAAATTGCACAAATTAATCCAAACCTGTAAACTTTTCTTGACCCATTAACTCAGATCCATTCTTTGTAATTTACCATATTTCCATTAATACTTTAGATTTTGCTGATATATATCACTTTCTAACTTTGAAAGAGAGTTACTCTCTAAGCTGTTTTTCCTCTTGGATAAAACACAAGTTAAACGGTAAAGACAATGATTTCTCACCTTGCAGCAGCTTCGGGCCCCCCGGGTCTGCATTGACGAGTTGCTGGGGTCTCTTCTGTTTCCGGCGTGACATGATTCACGGCAAGTCAGACAGAGAGGGGGGCATTAGTCGCTCCAAAGGCACCAGACACGTTTTTTGCGCACTTGAACCAGCTCCTGTGCGCATTCAGTCTCTCAAAGGAGCGCACTGCTCGCAGGTTCTCAAGGAAACCTTTAAATTAGACAATTGGAAAATTTTTGCAGCGCGGGATTTCATGGAAGTAAAAACAAACAAACAAATAAAAGAGCGGCTGTATGGAAATCCCTCCTGGCCGCACCGTGTCATATGGAGCTGCAGTGTGTGTGGCTGTTTTCTAAAGTCTCTTCTCCCCCCCAGCTTAAAAAAAAAAAACTTGTCCAATTTGTGCCCCTCCTCTCCTACTGCAGCTCCACTGCATGCATACACACACACTGAACCACTCCTTGTTCTATGATATTTGCATTTCAATAGCGTGTAACACACAACCTCCCTGGGTCTCCTTTTCCTTCCCTCCCATTTTTATTTTTTTCTTCTTCTTCTTTAAACTCACTCTAACTTCAAACTTTAGATAAAACATGACAATAGGTCTAAAGGCTTCTGGACGCCCAACAAATCTAAGTTGACATAAATAGGATTTTGTTAAAGGAAAAAACACTTTGATGATCTTCATTTAATTAACTTATAATTGATCAAACTACAAAGGAGAGTCAAAAAGCAATCTAACAGGTGACTTCTGCTTCAGCCCTTCAGAAAAGAAAGGAAATCCTATTATTTGCATGACAGGTGGCGTTGGTATCTCTATATAAATCTGACTTTGCAGTGTTATTATTGTGCCCATGGCAATATTTCTAACCTTTGATTTCTATAGGGCCAATTATCAACAGCAGCGCCGTGCGTAAAGGGGGGGCCATTCCACATCCACGCATGTAATTCGTGTGTTATCGCCAAGCGCATAATGCAACTCCCCCCTCCCAACCACCACTCTAACAAAAAAAAAAAAGCCCGGCATCTTACACTGGAGCTCTATTTAAAAGGAAAAGAATAGATGGGGAATCATCCACAATGGCGAGCTGGACACAGTTGAGTGAGCATCTCCCCTCTCTCACTGTGAACCCCCGGATCCACTGCTGCACAGCACAATGCCCCTCTTTCACCCCCTGCCTTTACTCCTGTACCACGTGGAGAGATGGGCAAAAAAAGCAGCAGAGGGATGGTGTTGGAGGTACCATGTTTAGATTACATTTAAAATAAAGTCCATATATTACAGTTGGGCTTATCAATCAATTTTTAATATAACAAAAAGATAAAATCTATGAATTCCTTTAATCTAAGTTCAAAAGTAAAAACCTTACACCAGATGTTTACACTTTGAATAAAAACAGATATTTTCTGATAGTAGCCTAAATCAGATAAAAATCATTTAGGTTTTAAGTCACATTGAATAAAAGAAAAGAAGAGTCACATAAAAGAAAGAAGAGTCAACACAAAGTCAAAATGTTTGGTTTATTTAAAGATGTCTTTAATTGAACTTTATTTGATTTCACATTGGAGAAATTTCCTTCTGCATTTAACCCATCTCTATAGGGAGCAGTTGGCTGCCATTGTGCGGCGCCAAGGGAGAAATCAGGGGTTAAGGGTCTTTGCTCAGAGAGCCAGAGTGGCAGTCTGTGGGAGTGGGTTTCTAAGTCACAACCTCAGGATTCCACTCGCCCCTATGCAGGTGTGTACATCTCAAGCCCTTAATGGCCTGCAGTGATATACATTTTAAAGATGTGTCCCTGCTTCAGCTTACCTGGTGGTTGATCAACAGGCTTTTTCTGAACTGAAATAATCCGAATCAAGTTTGTCAAAGATAGGAAATGTCTGAACCTGCAGGAAATCTCCCCGTTTAAGGTGATCCTATACATCAACATTTGCAGTTATTGTCTCTGTGCAAAATGTGTGAATCAAACCCAGAACAATAGCAAAAATAAATACAGAATGTGGGTTAAACTATCGAGACTCTGAAAGGCCACTCAGAGAGGAAGAAGCCATTACTCCAAAATCAAAATACAACAACTGGATTTCAGCTTCCAAGACCAATAAAGACCTAATGTTTGTAGTCATGATCTGTGGTATAATAAACTAAAATATAATATGGGAATAAGAGCAGTTGCTTCTTAAAAAAAGAAAAAAGAATGTCCTTGAACACTACAGTATAGGCCTACTTCGTTGCGAGCAAAATACCTCAAAACGTATGGAGAATGTGCATTTCACAGCACTGATAGCATCAAGAAAAGAGAATAGTACGTAGATATTACCATATATTTCATTAAAATGCAAAACATAAAAAAAATTATAAAGTTATTTCAGCTGGAACATTTCTAACCTAAAATGTTATTAATTTGAATGTTACAATACTGAATAATGTATCTAATATATTGTTGGTGTTACTTATTCCGAATCTGCCTTAATTTACGTTGAGCTGTTATCAGCCAATCAGATTAAAGCTTTGAAATTAGCGTCACCTGTTGCTAACAGCTTCAGAGAAAGGGTTCAAAGGTAAGAGGTAGCTGCTAACGGACAAAAATTAGTTTAAAAATCATCGAATGGAGTAGTATTAAACTAAAGAAATCAGATTTTTAAACGTAAAACGCTTTAAAAAGTACATAACGAACATGACTGAACCTTTTTTAGCATTCGTTAATCCTTGTGCTAAGTTTTATTAGCTGTATTGCTAGTTTTAGAATATAACAGTTGAAAATGTAGCCTCGTTTTAAAATATATAAATCTCCATATTTTAGTTACAAAAATATGACACGAATATATTATTTATTTATTTTTAGAAATTAAAAGTTCGGAAAAATAAACAAGAATGTGGGTATAAAGGGAATTAAGAGTTAGTAGTTTACAGCCTTGCCTTACAGGCTAGTCTAAATAAAAACTGAATAAAACGTAAAATTATTTAAAGTATTTGGCTTGGAACTATTTATCTGAAAATTAAAGTCAGTTCATTATTTCTAAATTTATTTCTGAAGTTTTTATTTATTTATTATTATTTCAAAGCAGAACTGAAAATTTGTCCAATATAAAAAGATATTAATTGAATTTAGTAAAAACATTTTCCAGAAAACTCAAACTATGGGCAGCTATAGCCAGAGTTGGGTAGAGTATTTAAAAAATTGTGCTCAGGTAAGAGTAGCACTACTTTTTAACATTTTTTTTTATTCAAGTAAAAGTAAAAAGTAGAAATCCAAGAAATTTCTCAACTAAGAGTTAAAAAGTATTTGGCAAAAAAAAAAAAGGATACTCAAGTACTGAGTACTTGTTGGATCATTACATATTTAATATTTAGAAGTGATGCTGTCAGACAGGCATTGTGTAAGATGCATTTTATTTTAAGACTAAAATCCATTAATAAATACAAATAGTTGATATGATTACAAAATAAAAAATTCCCGCAACATAAATATTTTTTCAAAATTATAGTTTTCATCATAAAACTTATGAAATCAATCATTACTGTGACTAATGTGTATATATTAGAACAGGGTTAAGTTCTATTGATAATATTTACTTTTTGCTGTATATTTAGCTCATCCTTGAATAGAAATATTACTCTAGTTGGAATAGCAACGACAGTATATAATATAAGGATATTAATGAAGTAAAAGGAATAAATACATTACAGTATAACTACTTCTCTTTTTTTATATTACTCGCATAAATATAACAAATTAAAACCAACCTCTAATAATGACACATCATGAAATAGTTAAGACTCACATCTTAAATTATACATTTACTTGTTAGCACCAAGCTACCATTATGTAGTGCCCAGAACATTATTCGCTTGTTATGAAACAATTTAAGTTTGCAGAGTGTTTACTCTTCCTTCTAGTGATGGCCATGTCTCTCGGTGATGACACCCTGCTGTGTAACTACCCCAAGTGTCGGGGAAAGCTAAGTGGCTTTGCCTGGGTCACCGCCTGCTCCCATGTTTTCTGTGATCAACATGGATCCGGCGAGTTTAGCCGCTCTCCTGTCATCTGCCCGGCGTGCTCCTCTGCTCTGTCCGGAAAGATGGACATTATGAGGACGGAGCTGTCGCCCTCTGAGGAGTATAAAGCCATGGTGCTGGCAGGTCTGCGACCAGACATAGTCTTGGACATCAGTTCTCGTGCTCTTGCCTTCTGGACCTACCAGGTCAGGCATTTCACTCTGCAGCCCTGATTTTATTCATGCAGCATTGCTTGTTTTCTCCTTTAAAACCACACTATGTTTTTAACATTTCCTGTCTTCAGGTCCATCAGGAGCGTATGTACCAAGAGTACAGTCTATCCCGCGCTGACACACAGCTGAAGCAGATGGAGAAAGTTCTGACCCAGCAGAACCAGAGCAGAGAACTAGAACTCACTGCCATGAGGGGCGAGATTTCCTCACTGAAGAAAGTAAGCTGCAACTGTTTTTCACCAATACTTTCACGAGTGCTTGTTTTTAAGAAAGGCTGAGACAGAAGTTTTCATCACATTATTTTTGTGTCGTCAAAATGCTCCTCTGGCTCAGGTGATGGAGGAGTACAAGAGGAAGTACAGTGAGGTGTCTGAGAGGCTGATGGAGAGGAACAGGCAGTACCAGAAGCTGCAGGGGCTCTACGACTCCCTGAGGCTGCGCAACATGGTGGTGGGAGCTGGAGACCGAGAGATGCCATCACACCATGGGAATCAGGACCTAAACATTGGTATGACTGACACACTGCTCTTTATTTCAGCAATTCTTTTTATTCGAAATACTCTTTTGCACGAACAGTCATGAAAATATTCCAGTAGAGTTGATGGCAATCTAAGAGGCACTTGCTGAAAATTATTAAACTCAGATGCAGATGCATACAATTTAATTTAATCCTAGTTATGATAAATGAGTCAAGTTTAACTGGCCATTTAAGGCCTGTTGGTACAGATTTATCTATTGTTCTTAACTTCGTTCTGAGCAAGCATGTGGCGACAGTGGAGAGAAAAACAAATTTTTTTTTTTGTTTTCCAAGTAACAGATCTTCAGCACAGGAGGCATCAGCATTTCAGGATCATGTTTCTAAATTATGGTTTGTTGTGTGTTTTGTTGTGTGTTTTTTTAGTTTTAACTGGCATTAATGTAAGGTAGTGAGGGACTGTTTTAGATTCTGCCTGACGTTCTGCAGGATCTCTAAATGTGCTGCCTCTTTGCACGACTACAGATGCAGCGATCCCAAACCTGGATCTGATATCTGTGATTTTATATTAAATATCAGAGATACAATGCAGTGCACTTTACATGGAACTGTTATTTATATATTTATTTGTGCTGCTTATTTTTTAATAAACAACATAAAGTAGATTAATATCTGTGTTGATTTTTTACCTTTTTAAGCAATGTTTATATAAAGGATAAAAGTCTTTATTCACATGGAGAGATATGTGGTTCATTCATTTAACAGTTTAGTCGAATATAGGACGATACACTCAGCGCAGCTATCAGTATCGCATCAGATCAGAAAAAAAGTGGAACAGTTCATCTCTATTCACGACTGAACATCAGTCAGTAAATTCTGCTTGTTAGCCAGTTTAAAATACAGATTTATAAAAAAAATTCTTCTAATATCATATGTTGCAGATGTTTAGTGATTGTTGTGCAGGTTAGTAATGCAGTTTTTTTTTAGGGATGGACTGATCCACTTTTTTTATTTAATTTTTTACTTCTGATTCAATATTTGGATTTAGATATATGTAGATCCTGATACTATTTTCTCATACCTGAGCTCAGTATGCTTTAAGTCTCAGTATGCCTATCATTTCAACTGCTGATTTTTAAATAGGTTATTAAAAGCTCCTCTCTAAAAGCAAGTATATGTATGATGTGTAGACAGATGTATCCCAAAAACTTACAAAATATAAAGTTGGAAAAGAAAGTGAGAAAAACAGTAAATGTTAACAGGACAAATTACATCCTAAAACAAATAACTAAACTTTAAGAGTTTAAACTAAATGTATTCATTAAAACAAAGACAGATGCCAATAAGGGCTAACCCGTTCTGCTGTTAAAGATTTTTAACCTAATTTAAATTTATTATACAAATAGACAAACTACATCTCTACCTGTGAATCAGGTATATTTCTATTCATATCTGATGTACATTTGTCTTCTATATCACATATTGGTGTCTCTCTATTATCTTTATGTGTTTTGCATTTGAATTACTTTATGATTCAGGATTTTTTTTCCCGTGTGCTGAAATGTCTTTTTAAAAATGAGTAAGCATAAATTTTAAGACTAATATGATTTTTTTTTTACAGTTTTAGTTCTGTTTTTACGTAGTTTAGCTATTTTAACCCATGTTTACGAAAAAGATAACTCAAATAATTCCCCAGAGCAGTAAGGAGAAGACATGTTGATAAGAAACATTTTTAGGGCTGAAACTAAGGATTATTTTGGTTAATCACTTAATAATAGCAAAAGGTTCCTCAAAGAAGATACAAATACTTTTCCACTTGTGAAATTCTTGAGAGAACATATTGAGAGAAGAAAATTTTGTTTTTTTTATGTTAAATGCTAAATATTTTTACTATTTTATGTATTTTGTATAATTCCTGCACTAAGTGGGTCCCTCTATCAGCTAAAGGCATATTTTAGAGTCTGTATACTCAAGTCAACGATTAATCCAATTGTTTCAGCCCTACATTATTTACATGACCTTCACTCTGAGAAAAATGAGAATGTTTTTGAACTTTGCTGTTTAACATAAGATGTCTTCAAAACTAAAACTAGAGGTCAAAGTACTGACTGAGGTCCTTTTCTATCGGGGTAACCATAACTAACTTCCATCCACATCCTGTGTTTCACCTAGCGATGGCACGGCAGGTGACCCCTAAGAGGACCCCTCGGTTCCTCTCCGCTGGCGCCTCTGGTGAAGAGCGTTTCTTCTCCTGCCTGGAGGCCGATGGAGCCAAGTCCTTCTTCCAGCTCAGCCCTCCAGGAAGGGAGAACCGTCCCTTCATCAATAAGCACTGAAGGAAGACTTTAACTTGATGCTTTCTGTAAAAGCTGTGCTGCAAAAAAATAGCTAAAATAATATGTTTAAGTAGCATGTTTATAAACATTATATTTGTGAAACAGTTAACTCAGGTAAGTCACTAAGGTATTTGATCAGTTATATAGTTCTACTGCACTGGAAAGCAGAAGCTCAGCCTCATTATTTCAGATGTTTACCAGTGAGCCTTTAATAAACAAACAAAGCTGGTGGTTATGGGAGTAAATTCTTTAGTATAACTTTTGGCTTTGCGAGAATGAAACGATCAGGAAGTAGTTTTACAGAACACTCACCCTACCTGGAGCGATTTATCAAATATGTGGCTTTGCAATGATTCCTCTTTGAGTTTTTTTTTTTTTCTTTTCCCGAGAGATGACACAAACAAAAAGGTTCACAGAAAATGTTATTTATTTTTCCCAAGTAAACAGAATTCAGGGCTTAACACTAAAAGCTGACTCATGAGAAAATGTTGTAAATTAACAAAACAGGACCATCATGGATATAAACAAAAACAAGAAATAATATTAATAATAATAAAAAAATGTTTGAACCAGGCACAGGATTCAGAAAATTTTAAAAACCTAAACAAACAACTGTTAAACTCCAGGTAAAAAAAAACATTTCAGTGCGTTTCCTTAAGTTTTTGGCGGTTCTCATAGCTGACAGACACAGGGATCTGACTTTGGACGTTCTGCTTCTTGCCGTTGACGATGAGGAGCAGGGGAGAGTCCACCCGTATGCTTTTAAAGTCATAGGACTGCGGGAAAGACGACAGGAAGAGGTTAGACCCACGGACACCAACGTGAAGCTAGAAATACAACATGGGTCACACCGACCTTGTCTTTATGTGTGATGCTGTGACGCTTGACGTTGGGTTCAGGGATGACCACAGTGTCTCCGATCAGGACGCCCCAGGTGTCTGCCGTGTTGTACACCATCACTACTATACATGTCTCATCACTGTCCACCATGCCAAACGTACTGAGGAACAGAAAAAGACGTTGGCAAAAATAGAAGGATAAATGTGACAAAGATGGAGGGGAATTCATGTATATCAGTCTTGTTTCGACTTGTTTTGTTAGTGCAAGTTTAAAAACTATGTTTCCATGGTAACTAAACAGCAGGCAAAGGATTCAAACATAATAAACTTTTAAATCAAGATTAGCAATGGAGGAGATGCACAGATTCACTGCTCCTGTAGAGAAATGTTTGCACCATAGGCTTAAAAAAATAAATAAATAAAAAGGCAGAGTTTGAAATTAGCTTCACTTACAAGGCCATGCGACCCTGAGAGGCAAGGCTGAACACCACCTTCCCCATGGCGGCCACTCCAGCGTTATGGCCGTGTGGGAGGGAGGAGAGGGAACGCGGCTCCAGGCTGCCCACACGGCCAGAAGGGGAGCGGAACTGCGGGGACGAGCAGGGGCCCAGAGCAGACGTGTTGAGGCTTGACAACATCGTCCTCAGCCGACGTGTTTTCACCTTGCCCTAGAAAAACACACACCAAGGTCCAGGGTGAAGAGGGCAGCGAAAAACAGTTATGTAGCACTCTGCTGCCACCTAGTGGTTAAAAATAGCTTTAAACATTAAACCCTATTAATAGGAAACAAGATATTTGGTACTTTTGATTTCAGGAAATAAAAATCACCAAAACCCAGAGGATTGCTGGATTGATTAATGCACATTTTATTAGTTACGCTTTTAGAAACCTTGTGATAACTAAATGCTGAGCAAATTACAAGGCTTTCTTTCAATGTTATGTAAAAACATAAAATAAAACAGACAGAGGAACAACTGCAAACCTTGTTCTGGATGAGTTCTGACACTTTTTCCAGATACTCCAGCAACTGCTTCTCCTTCTCCCTCGGCTCCTCCCAGTTTGGGTCCAACGCTGCCGCTCGGCTGTAGCCTTCCAGCGCGCATCCGAACATCTCCTCGTAGTAAAACAGGTTGGCTCTGTTAAAGTGCAGATCTGGGGTGCTGGATGCAATCTTGTCTTCGGCCTGTGGCAAAAAACAAAACAAAAAGTGTTGGCGTGCGCATTCAGTCTGAAAAACGAGAATATGAAATCGTGAGCTTACAGATTTTGCATAGGCGCTTAGAGCTTGTTGGGAGAATTGTGGATTCTGTCCGCAGGTGAAAAACAGAGACAAATAGGCATTTCCAAGAACAACTGCAAAAGATGAGGAAGAAACTTATTTAAAAAGGCTTACTTTAAGAAGACTATGTTCAAACCTTTAAGAGTTTCTTTATAATTCTACTCACACCATGAAGTCCCGTCACTGACATCCAGCTGCACAGCTTCCCGGGCCAAGTCCACACTCTCCAGCACACGCTTACCATGTTCATCATTATTAGCTGCTGGCAGCTGCCTCAGCACCATGGAGAGGTTGCGTAGAGATACCTTATTCTTCTCCTAAAACAGATAAATATAGAAATAAAAGAGTAATTAAAAGACCACAAAGAAAATTATCCCTGCTCCCTCTGTGGCTCACATACCTGCTGCAGGGCACCAGTTAAGCAGTTCTTAGAAGCAATAAGGTCTCCCTTCTTCCAGTACTGGTCCCCCAGTATGTTCCAGGCCTCCACCAGGCAGGGATCCAGCTTTACAGCTCGGGACAAGCACTCCTCTGCTGCAGCACTGTAGTCCGGCGCCACGTTCAGACACCGGCCTTTCTGCATCAGAAACTCTACTTTGTTTTTTAAGCTGTCTGTAGACCCAAACGAGTGAGCAGGAAAGAATTGTCATGTCTCACATTAAAATATTATACTTTTTGTTTATTCCTGGAAGACAGCACCTACCTTCTTTCTCCTCCAGCTTCTTCAGTATCTCCTCCATCTTCTGTTTGACGTCATCGGGTTTCCGTCCAGCCTCCTCCACGCCATGGGTCTCAAAATAGCAATCTTTGAACTGATACAGTTCATCCACCAGCTCCTGGGATGTAAGTGATGAGAGACACCCAGGTCAATGAGGCAAAGCAATGAACTAAAATGACAGGAAGGAACACATTTCTAAATGCTGACCTTTCTGTTAACAGTTAAATAGCAACCTGAATATTGTTTTGTTTCAATGTTTGTTTTGTTAACTAATATTTAATAAGCAAATTAGCATTTCTCATTCTTTAAATAAGCATAAATTAACACTATAGTGACACAAGATGTGGAGAAAAACATAAAGCCTTTTACAACCAGACATTTTAATGCACCCACAGAAATGTTAACAGGAAGAAAATCAGGCAATGTGTTGTTTCTTTCCTCTGTTTACAGGATAAAACCAGTGACTTGCTGTTTGATGGAGCTTCCTAATGAAAAAAACTTAGATTACCTCATGAACGACCCTTTATGTCGTTATTGTCAACGTTGTATAAGCAGATTGTACATATAGTCAACCCAAGATTTTATGTTAGTAGATATCTAAATGCATTTATTGTCAGGAATGTAATTTGAGCTACCTTTTGTCTCAGCATTTAGCTGTAGGTGCAGGTCTACCTTAAGAAAAGCAAACTGTGAATCGACATAACAAAAAGGAGAGAGGTTCTGCGTGTTTATGAAAAACTGAAGGATGTTTATAGAGTTTGACTTACCTTAATGATCTGCAGCTCAGTTTTGTTTTCCCCAGCTTGACTACTCTCCTCTTTCTCCGCCATCTTTGCTACTGTTTGAGGTGAAAAACAGGTCCAGGGGAGCCAGACGACAACGAAATGAAATGTTGTTACGTATCTTTATATAAGTTTACATTTAAAGCATTTTACCATCCCTATTGACAGTCATAATCATTATTTTAATTGCAGAACCAGGAGAGTGAGTTCACCAACAAAGGAAACGGGCTTTTAATTTTTGGGACACCGGAAGTCGAAGATGTACGCACGTAATTCCTTCCGACGTAATACTCTTCTTCTTCTCATGTTTTGTATTGGCGGATGGCAACAAACTTAAGGTGCATTTACCGCCACCTACCAGACTGGAGTGAGGTCATCCATGATGTCAGAGGGAAGTTATTAATTCATACCTCAATGGTATGAACGAATCTGCTTGTTATCTATCAATCAATATCCACACAAACTCACATATAAATTAGTATACACACACTTATATTCTTACTTTAAATACGATTAAATAATCCAGTGTTTAAAAAAAAAAATCAGATTAACTGATTTATAGCAAAATTTGATTTACTTCCTAAAAGGTTCATCATTGAAAATCCTGTTTTTCTTTATTTCTGTGAATACTTATTACATTCTAATAATACATGTTCTACTGTTTTCATCCGACATAATACTCTTCAGTGGTCAATCATTTTCACTATATGGGCCTTGAGTGTTATATTCTTCAAAAATATGTATTTATTTTGAAAACATAAAAAATATATATCTTCAACAAAAATTAGTTGATAAAATAAAATTCGGAAAATTAAAAATTAAACACGATGGAAACCAACGATATTTGTGATTGTAATCCAAAAATAGAAAAAATACAAAAAGACTGAAGCCTACCTCGCTGGTGCAGAATTTCACAGCTCAGGTTAAACTCATGATGGTCACTCCACAGGAAAGAATAAAGGGTCAGTCCAAAGCCAACACCCTTCTAATAATAAACATATCGATATCCAGAATAAGCAACTCCTAACAACCATCAGGTGGCAGAACACTAAAAATACGTTTAGATTCTATTTACTGTGTTTTTTTTATGAGTAGATTTGCATGTAATATTTTATTTATTGCTCTGGACACGCCAGCGGAACGCTTAATCTCGACCTTATTTTCAGTCGGACGCTTAACCCAGGTGCTCCACGCGTACTCTTTGGGAGCGCGGTTTGTTTTCAGCTTGTGTTTTGAATCGGTGTTACCCCTTTTTTATACTATAACTGCTCCTTAATCGAGCGCATCATGTCGGATACGTGGAGCAACATCCAGGCTCACAAGAAGCAGCTGGACTCGCTGCGGGAAAGACTGCAGCGGAGGCGGAAGGACCCGGCGCAGCTCTCCGGGGCGGGTAGGTGCGGCGGCTGCAGCCTGTGGTCATTGTTACTGTTCTGATTATTAATGAATTGAATGAATAAAAAACAAATAAGCTGTAAAGGTATTAAACCTTTAAGTTCAATTGTTGCTTTAGATTACAGGGGCCTCCCTCATCTCTCGAAGCATAACGGCACATTAAAAACACGCACAAAATGTTACACCTTAAAAAGAAAGCGATGACGAAATCAACAGGAATCCAGAAAACCTTTTATGTCATTATGAGTTTACTATAGTAAGACAAGACAAGGCAAGGCAAATTTATTTGTATAGCACAATTCAGTACAAAGACAATGCAAAGTGCTTTACATGATTAAAATATAGAAAAATAAAACAGAATCGAAGCAAGTAGGAAAAAAATAAATAAATAAAAAATGCAGAAACAAAAAAGAACATTAAAAACTGTTGGACTAAAGAAAATAAAAAAAGTTGAACCAATGATGTTTCAGTTGATCTGTTTAACTAGAACAGTCAAAGGCAATCCTAAACAAATGTGTTTTTAGTCTTGATTTAAAGGAACTCAGGCTTTCCGCACTTTTACAGTTTTCTGGAAGTTTGTTCCAGATAAATGAAGCATAGGAACTAAATGCTGCTTCTCCCTGTTTAGTTCTGGTTCTAGGTATGCAGAGCAGGCTGGAGCCAGAAGACCTGAGTGGTCTGGAGGGTTGATAAACTGGATACTTAATTATAATGCGTGAAGCTTTCAGATTTATATTAATATTTGAGTATAAGTTCTGTTTAGCATATAATGGTTTGATGCCTGTTATCATATTTAGATGTTAAATTTGATATAAAGGTCCAATGGCAAATCAGGCCATTGCATATGGTATTATTAGGATCTAACATTTATTAGAGATGATATATTTGAAAACTAAACAGAAAATATTTTATATTCCATATAAATAATGACATTTTCAATCAGTTTATCCACCTTTAAACTATTTTTGTAAAATCCTTTTGATCATATTAGGACTGAAGAATAATCTGATCAATCCTTGACTCGAGTAGATAGACTCTAAAAGATGCTGTCTATGGAAGAACAACTAACTCGGAGCAAAAATTAAGCCAAAACAATACAAAATATGTCTACTTTGCTTTAAAAGAGTAAATCCATCTAAATATAGTCACTATCAATAACTAAACATTAAATATCATTAGAATTAAAACCGTAGAATATTGACATGATAGATGTGAAGGAGCCCTGTGTGTGCACCGTTTGCAGAAATGCAACAGACAGATTTCATGAACTTTACTGTCTATGCAGATGGCGGGGTAACCACTGATGGCTCCACAGCCAGGAGCGACAGCCCAGCTCCATCAACTCCTTCTACTTCTCAGGAGGAGACAGAGAAACCACCAGACCCAGAACTGGAGAAGAGGCTGCTGGGATATCTCTCTGATCTGAGCCTCACACTGCCAACGGACTCACTGGCCATTACAAACCAGCTCAACAGTGTAAGTCTCCCTACACGTATGAAAAATAAGGCCATGGACTGTGTAGTTTTTTCTTTATCTAGTGTCCATGTTCGTCGTCACAGGCTGAAGGTGCTGTTACTCATGGATGCATCCAGAGCCTGCTTCTCAAGTTCTCTGCACAGGAGCTCATTGAGGTCCGACAGCCTACCTCCATCTCTTCTTCTTCTACGACTTCCTCTCCTCCCGCTACGGTCGTCGTAGCTGTGGATCACACAAAGCTTTGGGCCATGATTGGTTCGGTGTCTGGAGCCCAGAGAGCTGGAGCCAAGAGAAAAGCTGAAGACCAGACCCTCGGTGGCTTTTCACCTAAACTGCAAAGCTCTGCATCGCCTCCACACATGTCCTCCTCCTCCTCCCTGACGCCGGCCTCCTCCTCGCAGCTGGCGGGATCTTCTTCTTCAGGGAGCGGAGCTGAGAAGAAGGGTCGCAGCAGTAAGAGCCAGTCGTCTCATTTGGACATGGAGATTGAGAGTCTCCTTAACCAGCAGTCCACCAAGGAGCAGCAAAGCAAGAAGGTTATAATACTTGTTTTGAATATTTCACCTAACACTTTAATCAGCGGAGGAGTGGATATAGGAGTCTAATGTATGTATTTATTATTCTTTAAGATGAGTCAAGAGATTCTGGAGCTCCTTAATGCCAGCACAGCCAAGGAGCAATCTATAGTGGAAAAGTTCAGGTCTCGAGGAAGAGCTCAGGTCCAGGAGTTCTGCGATTACGGGACCAAAGAGGAGTGTTTCCGCTCCGGGGACAGTCCTCAGCCGTGCACTAAGCTCCACTTCCGGTAAGGATTTTAACCCTTTATAGAGAACTCAGTGAAATACTTTGGAAAAAATTGGAGAACAGAATAAGACAGTATTACTAGTATATATACACACATATTTTATAGCAAAGATCGGTGTCAATTTAATTACCAGACATGTCACTTGCTCCAATATTTTAAAAACAAACACAGAAAGTGCTTTTTATAAGGTCTTCATGAAAAACACAGAGAGAAAGAAATAATCTTTTATCTATTGCTAATACAGAATCATAATTTTTTTTCTTCACTGTTTAACTTAGTTTATCGACTTTTTAACTTAATTTGCAGAAGGCAACATCTGATTGGTTAAATGCTAAATTATCCTGTACTGCGCAGTGACATTTACAAAATGTAAACACTTCTCCATCCTTTGAGCTTCTATGATTTAAGTTTAGAGTAACATTATTTTAGTCAGAAGATGGTGCTATAATCACTGTTTTTAGCTTTTAACTCTGTTCATGACAGGGTTGACTTCTTTTCCTGACAAATACCTGAGGATAAATATATCTAGTTGGATTGAAATCTTAATTTTAGGATTTGGAAGAAAAAAAAAAGCCTGAAGTCGATGCAAAAAAAAATTAATAAATCAGTAGTTAAATCATCCTGGAAAATGTACAATAGAAGTCAGTCAGACACTTTTATTCAGTGCAGTGCAGTTGATGAAAACCAGTAAGTTGTTTGGAGAGAAAATGATTTTTTTTCCTTTATTTCTTTATTGACAGCATACAGTTATATATTTTTTCCAACCAGGAGTTTGGTAAAAATTTCTCCCCCATGTTTCAATCACTTCCTGGGTCAAAAAACAAATGTTTTAAAAAGTGTCTTCCTGTAACAGCGATGAGCTGAACAAAGTCGCTGACACTCTAAACTTCGTAAACTGAGCCTAATACACAGAGAAGAACATGTTCTTGAATCATATCTGATTGTCAAAATGAAAATACAGTAAAATTAGGTGATACTTCAGATTATTTATTTATTTATTAATATGTGCCTTTTAACAAATTACTTCTTTATATATGTAAAATATATAGAACCTGCTAATGTTTATGCAGTAGTAATCAGCTAAATGTGTGCTTAATAAAAAAAAAAATCTGTAAATTTAATTAAATTTATGCTGAGACATTGTATTTTTTCAGGTTTACCAGCATAATTAGGCTCATCTTTGTCATTCTGATTCTGAATAATTTAAAATGAGGTCTGCATTTGCACTAAGGGGTAAAGGTATAAGGCAAATAGCAGGAATTAGTAGGATGTTAAAACACAATAATAGACATCAAATTGCGCTTTGATTCTAATTGGACGTCTATTAATCCGGATATTACTGGACATCTTTTTTTCTGCTAGTCATTGAAACGATCCACAAAGATTTGTTTTTAAATCTGCTCAGGTTTTCAATCTCCAATCACACTGAATTTGTTCTAAAACATTAAACTGTGACCAAAAAAAACACCTTTAATAGGTTAAGATTTGTTCTCACCGCTGTGAGAAAGTTGTTAAGCAAAGATTTTCAGGATGAAATGCTTTATCAACTCACCGTTTCCAACTTTAACAAT